CGCAGGGCGAGAAGGAAAACGCGAATGCGAATGTAACACCTGCCTCGAGAAGGCTTTCTCGGATCCCGACACTCGCTCAGTAATATTTAAATATCTGTATATCTGTACTATATTATTTAACACACTCCTTACATATGATGATAATGACATGCGATGAAACCTATGGCCAGACCTGTCGAAAGCCTTTGGATAGCCTCTCTCTTATCTCTCCAAGATACGTCATGGGGTTTTCTTCTATAGACGAAGTGGGCGGCAAGCAATCCAGAACGCGATCGATTTCGAGGAACGGGCTAGGCCGGTAAGCAAGCAAAATCTAATGTTTGCCGCGTTCGTTCCGGGAAGATGAAGGGAGTAGAACTCGGTCAAAGATGACTCGAGGGGTGATGGAGCGCCGCGCTTCGGCAGGGATTTCTTTGAGGCCCTGTGCTGTAGGCAATCTTTGAGCAAACCAGCGACTCAAAGTCCGTTCTCGATCAGCGCTCAGCGCGTAGCATTGCCGAGACATACAGTGTGCCTCCTTGCGTATCAAAAGAACCGAAAATTGTAAACGTATCTACCTTGAATTGCAACAGCACCTGAAGAATTTCGTGACAATGCACTCGCTAACTTGATGCGAGCGGCGGCTGCATTTTGAACTTCAGTTTGGGGAGGAGGTTTTTTTGCCTTGACGGCAACGGACATTTAGGTCCTAGACAAGTGTTTACGGCCATCTCCCAATTTAAAGGCGTAATCGTGGTGCTGTTTGAAACTGTTATTTCAAATACGTGGGTTGGCGAAAAAGGACCCCTTCAATTCTATCGCAGCTTTGGAATCGAATCAACAACTAACATCAGGAAAACACGAAAATCGAGGTAGCTACGAGCCCGCTATGGAGCACTATATAGTGCTTTCCAGTGCTGCATAGTAGCCCATAGCTACATAGATTCCACAAACTGCTTGCTATTGCTGCACAGTGCCCATAGCCTCACCTCGGTTTCCTGATGAAGGCTTGAGTGTTAATCTCTAGGCTATTGACTCAACTGGGGATTTCGTCGTAGTCTTGTCAACGACTTTCTATACGTTTTAGGAAAATAGTCGTTCCTACCTGTAGTAATTTCATCGCATGTAATACAGCTAGGGCCTCTGACGAGCTTTCCAGGACTCGCGGACTCGATTGCAAGTGCCAGAATGGGCGCGTGCGTTGGGGAGGAGTTAAAGATGGCGGACTCCGGATCCCGAAGAATAGGGAACCAGCCGATGGAGTGAAAACTGACGAAGACTCCGAAAGAGTAATTCTTATACAGGGTTGTAAAGCATTCGCAACCTTCCGGCGCCCATCACGATTTGATAGACGCGCGTCGGGCCCCGTTATTTTGTTACCCGAAATAAGCGGAATTTTTCGCCCAATTTCGTCGTCAACCTCTAGCCCCCGTTTCAAGGGTGCGATAATGGATCTTTAATTACTCATTGTGAGGGACGTTTTCAGGTACAGATTCGGAGGCTGTTCATGATTGAGGGTGTACTCGAGCCCTTTTATTTTGTTTGCATATAAGTCTGTAGAGGTCGAAATTATTTCATCTGTCATGAGCCTATCTGCCTGTTCCGGTCCCTGTTGCGGACTTTTTATCGAATGGAAGGGAAAAACCACGGGCCCTAGAAAATCGCAGTTTCTACAGTCCTCATTCAAAATAAACAGACCGTCAATAAATGTAAGCAAGTTGATACAGTGAGCAAGCAAGATGCAAAAAAGGAAAGCGGCAAAGAAAAAGGCTACACTATGATTCAACCGGAATGCTGAAGGGCAGCTGCAGCGGCTGAGAAAACATCTCGAGCCAGCCAGTCCAATTTTTCTCCTTGTGGCGACGCCGCGCAACCTCATTAAGCTGCGACCGGGTAGGATAGTGGGCACAGAGGAGAAGCCAATACTGGGACATGTCGCGAGTCTGCGTGATGCAGAAGTTGTTCTTGCCCAATACGAGGAAGGGAGACATATCGAGCAGTCCATTCGGTGACAGCTGTCGACCCGTGAGTACTTGGATGCCAAATGAAATATTGCAACGCACAGCAAAAGGGGGAGACATGGGAAAGGTTTGGCGCTGGTCGTCGAATAAAGCGTCCAAGGTCAAACCACCTTAGGAGGGTAAATAAAGCGGTTACACTATGGAGAGATTGTGATGTACCACTCTTGGGCCACGAGCATTCCAGGTCGGGAAGAAGGGTACTGAGGTCTCTATTTTGCTGTTCTGACGACTCCAGACGAGCAGCTATATCGGCTTCCGTAAAGCACAGGAGAGTTATACATAAACTTGCTTCCAGATTGCTCGATAATCTATGTCAGTACTTTGGGCGGCAGGATCATAAACGAGGACAACATACTCGGAGTGTTTTAAACGATCTTTCCACTTTGTTATCGAGTCCAATTGGTCTCGGTTGATAACAAAGTCAATCGAGACTGTGCCGCTTGTTAACCCACGCTGACAAGCTATGACCGTCCCTCCCTTTATACCAGTTTCTGGACGATGCCCAGTGAGAAATCGGCGATTATAATAAGTCTCTACTGCGTACTGTTGGATGGGGTTGAAGCCTCTAGATAATCGGATAATCGGAGGTGCGGAGGTGTCGAGTCCATAGACCACTTTCCGGCTTCATGCTCCAACCCAATCTCACTAGTTGTCGGAGGAGTGGGCAGCATTTTCATAGCTGGTGCTGTGGTATCCTAGAAATTCTGTTAGCACACAAGGACACGAGACCGAAGATAAGCTGACAGAGATACGCTTGTTTATATCTTTGACCATGCCCCGGATGAAATCCTGGAGAGCCGCCGCCGATGGTGGTTCGGGCTCTCCTTGTTCGGCTTGGGTTACGTCCGGACTCCCTTCTGGCGTGTCCACGTTCATATCTACAACACCATCCGTGGAATTGCTCGAATTAGCAGGGTCTGGCGGCCGCGAAGGACTTCTCTGCGCCGCAGGAACAGAAAGACGTTGAAGGTTGTCGATTGGGAGCATTGCCTCGTCAGCGTTCCCAACCGCGGCGCGATTCACGGTGCCGGCGTCTGGTAATTTCGGGTCTGCACTCGGAACTGGTGCGATCACTTCTTCGACCAAAGACGCCGGGACTGTTAATGTACGCAAAACACGGTTAACTTCATCATCCATCACAGAGGACAGCGGAGCCTGGAATAGATCTTCACTCTGAATAAAAATACTTATAAAAATGTTTAGCTGGTACATACAGGAGTCGAGGTCAAAGATGGAGAGAGAGCGCTTGACTACCAAAAAAAAAGAGGTAAGGAAACCGGAAACGAGTCAGAGGTCGCCTACCTGTGCATGCGAATCAGTCATTTCCACCTCTTTGGAGTTGTTGTCTGGCATTGGCTTGTATTTAACGGCCGGAGGAGGTGGAGGTGGGTACGAGAGGCCATCTTTGGGTCCCACGGATATCGGGACGACGACTGGTTCAGTCGTAGCTTGAGTGATCTCCACTTTCTTCGAAGAGATCGCAGTCTTCACGACAGGTGAGGTCTGTGAGGAAGCCGGAATCACAGATGCAGAAAGACCGGGGAGTTTCTGGGCATCCTCCGCCGATTTCTGAGCCGGTCCCCGCTGACGCTGACTGAGGTCGGCCTGGATGATAGATAAATCGACTTTCCTTTTCTTGCGTTTAGGCTTAACGGCCGCCGGTAACGGGGCAGGACCAGAGCCAGCATTAACGGACGGGGCCACATTCCCGGTCTCAAGGAGCGTTCTCTTGGTAGTCTCCGGAATCACGGCCGCATTCGCTGTTCCTGGAGCGGCTGTCGCTTCAATAGTGACTGGGGCTGCTTCGATGACTGGAGCCTGAGAGGATCCGTGAGACAGTATGCTTGAGTCAAATACCGGGTTGGGTGTGCTAGAACTCTTTTTCGTCGATGGTGGGGGAGGAATCACCGGAGCAGGTATATGAGAAGTACTGGCAACCGGGCTAGTAGGTGTTAATGCGGAGGCCAGGGACGATGAGCTTGGGCGCATCTGCTGCGCCGGCTGGATAGCAGTGGATGATGCATGAGGCGTTAACCTGGAATCCATTAATTTTTGAACAACAAGTTGGGTCAATGAGTTACGGCGGGGGTGGAGATGCCTGAAGCGGCGCGGCTTGTGGAAGTACAGAGTATGGGGGAGGTGCGGGAACTTGGGGAGGGTCCAAACGATCGGCGACTTGAATGAGTCGTCGAACGGAGGCTAATGGTCCGAGTTAATTTGACGCGTCCCGATTTGGGGGAGTTATTTACTGACCTTGGAGGTCGGGCTCAACAAAGCGAGCTTGCCAACGCGCTAAAACACGGATGACTGCGACAAAGTGCTCAGACAAGGTTTGATACTGCGGGTTTGTGGCGTTTTTCTGCAGCGTTTCCTCTGCGATCTGTGATAGCGGTATTCTTTAATAGAGCTCGGTCGTGTGTTTGGTCGGCGAAAAGAGTACCAGTAGAATTTTCACTATCTGGATTCGGGTCAGGGAAGCGGGGAAAGCGGCGGCATATGATATCCACCTCGGGCCGCGCTTCGTTATAGTAAGCTTTGTCGTTGTCCAGCCATGGACGGAGTTTTTGCGCTGCGTTGAGAAAGTACTTTTGCGTATCGCTCGCGGAGAACGAACGCTTGAAGGCATCGAATGTCCTTGCCATTCGGGAATCAGTTTTTGGTCAAGTGGATGAGGCTCGGGGCTCACCTCTGATTTTTTGCGAGAACATCCTCGCTCGACATTATTGATGTCTTCCTTGCGGAGGAATGCTACATAGATTACCAGTGGTTGAGAATCGAGGATAGAGTCTTGGAGAAAACAGAATTTGGAATTGGACTCCGGACCGCCGACGGATCACAGATCACATCATAACCATGCTAACCTGCGGTTGAGACCCTTCTTCCTCCATATAAAATCCTATCGACTGCTCGTTTTCTTGCGGGAGACTACCTTCTTCGCCACATTCGAGAAAGCAGTTATATAACCCACCCTCATCGAACGTTACGCAAAAACGCAAAAAGAGACACTACCGTGGTTCGAACACGGGACCTCACGATAAACTAGACTGTTGCAATCGTATGCTCTAAGCCACTGAGCTATAGTGTCCGTACTAATTCTCTCTAACACAAGAGTATTCCGGCAATCTGTGGCACATGGTTAGCTTGGTTGTACCAAGTTCAATTTCATCGCGGATTGCCTTGGTTGTTGTATTTTTTCCCCCCATTTTACACCCAAATTATCCCGCCTGCGCACTGATGCCACCATACTGATACCCTCTTTCCGAGGCCAGCCGAATAGGTCGCGTTTTCGGAACTAGGACGTAACAACGTCTTTGCATTAACCCAGTCGCATCTTATTAATTATGCGCTAGGGCTAAAGGACAATGAGTTGACACGGTGCATGAGTCTTTGTATTTTTGGGCGGTAGTTTTGCGATGAATCAAAGCCGCGTTCGGCGCTTGTTCGCGCGCGACCAGTCAATCACGAACGTCCAATCTTTCTGCCGTTTCAGAGTCTTACAGCCAGCTGATAAAGGGCCGGACACTGCCCCAGACTTGGACCGACATTGGGTCGAGTGGGGCTTATAACCACCAGTGCAGCCAAACCAGTCCCAGTTTCCGCCAACACGCTTCGCAAATTGAAACACGCGCAATATTTATCCGAGATCTTCCACCACTCGTCCACTCCCTACGATCGGCAAACGCGGTCCCTGTCCCTCTGCTCGGTCGCGGTTAAATAATGTTCGACCTGGTCGTGGTTGGAGAGGGCGGTGGTCCCGACGAGACGAATCTCAGCGCGTGCGTAGTACTTTCGCGTCGTACGCGTCTCCAATCGCGCCACGTGTCAAGGCTCACCAGTTTATTTTGGAGACAGCTATCTGTTCAAACCATCCGATGCTAGCTGGGACGATGGTATCATTGCGTTGGAGGCAGGTTCGTTTCCAGTATCGGCTATTTCAAGAACTAGGTTCAACATCTGTAACCAGGGTCAGGTCAAGGAACCTTGCAAAAACTCCTTCAACGCGACCCCCATCTGTTTAACACGCCAGACCAGTCGTTGACGCGGGCAAAGCCGTACACGGCCGCAGAAGTCTACTCGCTCGTGCGGTTCGTCGGGCCGTTATTTATTGACGAAAATAATGCTAAAATTATATGGCGGCAGCTGTTTCCTCATCTCGCACGCGCACTTGGACCACGTAAACAGCCTGGTTTTATCGGCTGGCTCACTGCGCGGTCCGCGAAAGCGGCTCTGCGCCGCGAAGCAAACGCTCGCAGACCTAGAGAGCGTGTTTGCTGACCGAATATGGCCCAACTTGGCGTCTTGGAACGAGGACGACGACGACCACAAGCTGTTGTACACTATGTAAGCCGCCGCGCTCTCTGAATTTCTCTGCTTATTTTTTTGCAAGGCTTGGCATGAACGACACGTACGATCCCCTAATTCCTAACGTCTCCGTCTGCAGTTTCCCCGTCAGCCACGGGCACAATGAAGGCGGCAATTACGACTCTACGGCATTTTTCATTCGCTACGATCCCACTGGCCACGAATTCCTGTTCTTTGGGGACCTCGAGCCAGACACGCTTTCCCTCTCCCCGCAAACGATCAATGTATGGCGCGCCGCCGCCCCCAAAATTCCCGCATCCCTTTGTACTATATTTATCGAATGCTCGTGGCCGTCCTCTAGAAGCGACGACACACTATACGGCCACCTGAAGCCCGAGCATCTAGTCGCCGAGCTGGAGGCGCTTGCCAGCGAGGTCGTGAAGGTCCGCAATGCCCTGCAGTCCGGCGCGTCTGCCCGCCCAATGCGGAAAAAGCAGCGAATGAACCCCATCACTGCGCCTCCCAGCGATCTGCGGGGCGCCCTGGACGGCGTGCAGGTGTTCGTCATGCATTGTAAAGACACGCTCGATGGCGCCGAAGACCGACCCAACCAAACGCTCATCATCGAGCAGATTAAAGCCTTGCTGGAAGTAAAAGAACTCGGCGTAGAAATTTCACCAGTACGCCAAGGCGCACGTATTCGTGAGTCCGTCTTTTTTTCCCGCGGACTTGCAACTTATCGCAGCGCTAGGCATATAATCTCTCTGGACACCTTATTTATTTCTTCTTGCGACAACTACCCACCCCGCTGTATAACTAGTCCTCCTGTAGCCGTAGCGCTTCCCGCTCATCCACGTTAACCTTTTTTTGGTTTGCCTATGTACGTCCGTACGTTCGCACAAGTTGCGGATGCGATTATTCATAAGTAATATGCGTTCATGACAGTCGTTAAAAAAACATATGTATGTACAAGAAGCGGAACGAAAAAAGAAAAATCCCCGTATGAACATTCTAATTAAGTAAAGCTATGGTGCAAAATAATCCACCGCTAACAGCGAAGAACGGACAACTCAACAAACAAACAAGCGGGGCTGGCTACGACGATGCGTAGAGCTTTACAACACCGTCGGCCCCCGCACTGGCCATAAAGGGCAGTGACGGATGGAACTCGACATCCAGCACGCCCTCGCGCGCCTTTTCTCGGTGGGTCGTGATCTCCTGCACGCATGCGCGCGAGCCGAGGAGGTCCCAGAACCGCACGGAGCAGTCGTGACTGCCGGAGACGAGCGAGAAGCCGGCGGGGTCGATGGACAGGGACGTGACGCCGTCGAGGTGAGCCAGCATCGAATGCGTGCATTGCCCTTGCACAGATTTAAGTCGATTGCATTTATAGGCACGAGAAAAACGAACCTGTCACAATGTCGAATATCCGAATGTACTTGTCCTCGTGGGCAGTGACGAGGAGCGACATGGTGGGATGCGAAACTATCCGGTTTATCTGGGTCGCTGGCGTACCATCTGTAGTTGGGTCCTCAGTCTCTTTCGCTCAACTTTGGTGATGGAGAGATGATCAACGAACCATAGCTGATATCAGTAGGCAACCTCGTAAGCTCCTTCCCATTCTCGATATCGAATATTTTCACCACCGCATTCTGGTACGCGACCGCCACCTTTTTGAGGTCGACCTTGAGCGCTTCGACCGCCGTCGCGCCAGGCGCGTCCATGTCCTCCTGCAGCTCGTCCGCGTGCTCCAACCCCGCCCATGCCCATGTGAGCTTGAGCGACCCGCCGCCCGACGGCCCGCTGACGTCCCATACCTTCACCGTGCCCTCCGCGCCGCAGCTGATCAGCGTACTCTCGTCCCGCACGAGCGCGAGGTCCCATACCGCGTCGGTGTGCCCGATCAGCTCGCCGCGCGCGCGCGTCTCGTCATACGGTGCATACGTCGTATGGGATGGCGAGGGGAGTGCCCAGACTCGGATTGAAGAGTCGAGGGAGGCTGAGTACAGGAGCTGCTTGGATGGCGCGTGTATCAGCCGCGTGATGGCTGCTGAATGGCCTCGGAGAGTCAGTTGGGGTTCAATTTCAGTAGTCGGTCGCGAACTATTGTTCAAGACGAATCAGCAGAGTCTCGAGGAAATAGCTGGGGCACGTACGCAGAAGAGGCGAGGCCGGCAACGTCCATCCGCCATATTTTCACGGTGCAATCGTCTCCGCCTGTCGCGAGTGACAGTTCGTGTGGGTGGAAGGCAAGTGCGCGAACGGCATCCAAGTGACTGCCCGTCGGGTAAATAAGCCGTCAACAAAAAAAGAAAAAAGGGTACCGACTTTCGCAGTGTCCGTTTTGGCCGCCAAACCTTGTTGCCCTCGCCGTCGCTGACCACGGACGACTCGTCATCGTCCACCTCACCATCCTCGTCCTTCCCTTCGTCCTCATCAGACCTTCGGTCCCACCCGAGCTGGTTTTCTCGTGCGAGACGAGCCTGTTCAGCCTCATGTGACTGTCGTAGCTTCTCCTTCCATTCACCCGCGTCATCAGGTCGGAAAATCGCGGTCAGTTGGCGGGGCTCAGAGTCGCCGTCTCGCTCTCCTCCAGCGTCAGACGATGAAGATGACGCCGCCGACGAAGACTGCGACGGGACCACATTTTGCTGCATTATGATCGGGTTTGGGGAGGATTGTTGTTGTTGTTGCTGCGCCATGTGCTGAAGTTGCAGCATGCCCGAGCCGAGGGGATTGCGAGGTTCGAGGTTATTAGGAACCTGCGAGCCGGTGGCGGCGGCGGGAGCCGACGACGGGCCCGACATGAGGTTGTTGATGTTACCATTCAGCATGGGAAAGTCCTTGCCTGACTCTGGCAGCAGTTTCCGCGGTCTTCCATTAAACGCCATCTGCTCAAACGGCGGCGCGTTTGGAAGGGTGAGCGGTATGTTACCGTTGTTGAGTAAAGGTCGGTTCGGCAAAGGGTTCATCGCCTGCGGCGACGTGAGATAGGCAATTTCCTGGAGGCATCTTGCAGAAAAAGATTTTTTGTGAGCTTGGCTGCGTTGGACACGTGCAGACCGGGATGCGTACTGTTTGAGGTAGTCGCGACTCCGCGCTCTGCTCTTTGGGTCCCGACCCGGCGGAGGTTTGCCCAAGCCTGCGACGGTCCCGGTGGCCGGGCCGTTGGTCCAGTTCGAGCCACCCCACGAATTTGGTCTTCCTGACGGACCGACGGATGCTACGCCATTGACGCGGCCGTCGGGCAGCGGAGAATCTGAGAGAGTGGCTGAATGAGAGAGCGGACGATGACAGCGAAGGGACGCATGTACCCTCGCTCCGGGGCGAGCTGCCGCTGCTTTCTTCCTTGTGGCTTCCGGCGTCGTCTTTTTGGGACGTGGAGGATGTAAGACCTTGAATCGCGGCTAGTTTTGCGGGAGGGACCGACTGGGAGGCCACGGGTGGTTGTGTGAGTTGTTTTGAGCTGGCGCGCGGACACGTCAAGAAATAAATTTCGCGGCTAAGTGCACGGAGCGCGCAAGGACGCACCGCTCCATGCGCAGGGCATATTCCAGCATTTTTATGCGGCGCATGAGGTCGAGCTTTACATTCTCGAAAGACCGGCGCTCTCCCTCGAGCAGGGCAATGCGAGCCTAGACAAAGTTTGACTGAGCTGTTTAACGCGACACAAGGGAGGCAGTGGACGGACCCGCATTTCCGCGCGCTCGATTTCCCACTCATTCCTGTCGCGTTCGTATTTGCGCCATTCTGTCTGGAGGTAGTGGAGAACGCTGGAGAGGC